TGTGTGTGTATCTGTCTCTGTTAATTTTAGAACCGCCAGGAGCTCACCTGAACTTGCACTTGCACACGAGACCGTCGGAATTGGCATCCTTATGACAATGACAACGACAATGACAATCTGAATTCATCTCGCAGAGAGAAATTTGTCGTGGTCCATAACAATGGCAGTAGACGTTGCAAAGGTTAGGTGCACTCACGCATACGCGCAACAAGACAGGACATTAGTAAATACATCATGTCCGCCAGAGGACTATAAATATAAGTGCTTGAGATCTATCTATCACCCTACCTACCCTCGAATCACGGGAAGAAAAAAACTCGACCCTAGCATGGATATGTCTTAGTTGTGAGGTGTGGTCGACGGGTCAAATGGTAGGCCTGCCTACACATGTTGTTGTAGTTTGTAGTTGAACCTCTCTAAACTTGTTCCTTGGGTGGTTGGCGGGTGCTCTGGTGTGTTTTGCTCCTTCTTTCCTATAAAAAATATTTTTTCTCTATGATCTCCCCTCCTTCTTTTTTGTGTTTGTTACTCTCTTGTAACACCTCTAATCTTCGGCACTTATAATTATGATCTCATTGTGTTGCAAGTGCCGTAAAACTCTTACTAAAACTAAAATCCTTGTTTCCAGATTCTGTCACTCTATTTCTCAACACAAAATTGCGCTGTTTACAAGGGTACGTTTGTTGGGCTCTTGAGGGGTCAGAGTGAAGTGTGTGGTTGGTTGGCGGGTGCTCTGGTGTAGTTTGCTTCTTCTTTCCTATGAAACATCTGTCGCCCTTATCTCCCCTTCTTCTTTTTTTATGTTTGTTCCTCTCTTGTAACACCTCTAATATTCTGGCTCTCATATGACATTATGCAGTTGCGAGCGCCGTAAAACCTCTACTAAAACTAAAACTTTAAAAAAATGAAGTGTGTGGTTGCATTCCAAGAGTCCAGATAAAATCGTCAGTTCTTCGGTTCTGTCCTGAATTCCCAGTACATGCGATAATTCCTGGGAAATCTATTTGATCCTGGTGGGGATATAGACTTAACCACTTATGGTACCCAACATTTGGAAGTCAAAGAGAACAAAAGCCACTTGGATACTTTATAGGCCTACCTTTATTCGGTCACGGTAACCATTCATTCAGCCGGTGTGGAGAGCCAGTGTTTTTAAAAATAAAATCCAGCCCAAAGCACTCACAGAAGCAAGAGAGAGACGGACAGGCATGCAGACGGACAGACAAATAGACAGGGAGATTGGG